TAGGTCTGGCTTATTTCACTTAGCATAATGATCTGCAGTTGTATCCATTTTTTTGTAAATGTCAGGATTTCATTAATTTTTATGGTTGGGTATTATCCCATCACACACACACACACACACACACACATACATATTACATTTTCTTTACGCAGTCATCAATTGATGGATATCAAGATTAGTTCCATATCTTAGCTATAGTAAATTGAGATACTGTAAACATGAGAGTGCAGGTAACTTTCATATGCTGCTATCAATCCTTTTGAATATATTTCCAAGAGGGGGATAGCTGGGTTATATGGCAGATCTATTTTTAGTTTTCTGAGGAATCTCCATATTGTTTTCATTAATGCTGTACTGGTTTGCATTCCCACCAACAGTGTATCAGGGTGTGTTTTTGTCCATGTCCTTACCAGCATTTGTTATTATTTTGGGTTTCGGATGATAGCCATTCTAACTGGGGTGAAGCAAAACTTCATTGTAGATTTTATCTGCATTTCCCTGATGCTTGTGATCCTAAGTATTTTTCATGTATGTTGTACATTTATATTTGTTCCTTTGAAAAATGTTCATATGATTTTTCAATTTCTTAACTGGGTTTTTTGTTTTATTGTTGTTGAATTTCTTGAGCTTCTTATTTATTGTGAATGTTAATCCTTTATTGGATTCAAGTTTGGACATATTTTCTCCCAATCTGTAGGTTGCCTCTTTACTTTGTTGATTGTTTCCTTTGCTGTGCAGAAGCTTCTTAACCTGATGTAATTCCAATGGTCTGTTTTTTTGCTTTAATGCCTATGCTTCTGGGATCTTATCCAAGAAGTCTGTCTAGGCCAATTTCTTGCAGTATTTCTGGTATTTTCCTCTAATAATATGATGATTTTATGTTTAGATCCTTGATCTACTGTGAGTTGATACTTGTATAGCATTTAAGGAAGGGGTCTAATTTCAAACTTTTCCATGTGAAAAGCCAGTTTTCCCAACACCATTTGTTGAAGAATGTTGACCTTTTTTTCAGGGAGAAATTTTAGCTTATTTGTCAAAGACTTGTTGTAGATGTGTGGTTTAATTTCTGTAAATTCTATTCTGCTCCATTTGGATTCCATGTCTATTTTTATGCCAGTACTAGGCCTTATTGATTATAATAGCCCTGTAGTATGTTTTGAAATCTGATATTGTGATGCATTTGGCTTTGTTTTTATTAAGATTGCTTTGGCTATTTATTATCTTTTGTGTTTTTTCTGTCTGTGAAGTATTAAAAAGGTAAGTAAAAAACTCCTTGAAATGAATTAAAGTGAAAACACAACGTATCAAAATTTATGGACTAGTTTAGGTGGTAAGCTTATAGTAGTAAGTGCCAACCCCCCAAAATTTGAAAGGTAGTATATAAATGATATAAAACGTATCTCATCTAAAGACTTAGAAAAAGAAGAATAAACTAAACCCAAAATTAGTAGGATGATAGAAGCAATAAAAATTATAAAAAATAATCAAAATAGAAATTGAAAAACTATACAAAATATCTATGATGTAGAAAGATTTTTTATTGAAAAAAATAAACAAATTGATAAATCATTGGCCCAACTAACCAAAAAAAAAAAAACGGTAGAAAACCCAAATTGACAAAATCAGAGATAAAAAGGGGATGTTACAACTGATACCACAGATATATAAATCATTAAGAATGATTACAAACAGCTATATGCCAACAAATTGGAAAATATAGAAGAAATTAATAGATTTCTGGCCATGTGTAATTTATCAAAATTGAAGTATGAAGACATAGAACACTTGAATGGTCCAATAACCAAGAATGAGATCAAATCAGTAATAAAGAGTCTCCCAATGAAGAAAAGCCCAGGACCAAACTGCTTGATTGCTGAATTCTACCAACCTTTTTCCGTAAGAGCTAATCCAAATTCTACTTAAGTTATTCAAAATAATTGAAAGGGAGGGAACCTTCCAAAATAATTCTGTGAGGCTAGCAGTACCATAATTCCAGAATCAAAGAAAGACATAACAAAAAAGAGAACTATAGACGAATATCCCTGATAAAAATAGATGCAAAAATCCTCAACAAAATGCTAGCAAATAGAATACAACAACACATCAAGAAGATCATCCACATGGACCAAGAGGGATTTGTCCAGGGACACAAGGATGGTTTGATATATGCAAATTAATAAATATATATCATATCAACAAAATGAAGGATAAAATCATATGGTTATCTCAAAAGTAAAAAAGAAAACATTTGATAAAATACAACATCCTTATATGATAAAAAAAAACCTTAAAATTGGGTATAGAAGGAACATAACTCAATACAGTCAAGGCAATATATGACAAATCCACAGTTGGCATCATATTGAATGGGTAAAAGCTGGAGAAATTTCCATCAAGAGCCAGATGCAGACTTTTGTCACCACTACCATTCAATATAGTTCTGGAGGTTTTAGCCAGAGCTATTAGGGAAGAAAAATAATTCAAAGAGAGATCTATTGGAAAAGAGGAGGTCAAATTATCCCTGTTTGCAGATGACATGGTACTTTATAGAGGGGAACGAAATAACTCCACTAAGAGACTATTGGAGAGCCCACACCATGGTGTAGTGGATAAAGCTGCCGCCTGCAATGCAGGCATGCCATATGGGTACCAGTTCAATTCTTGGCTTTTCCACTTGTGATCCAGTTCTCTGCTATGGCCTGGGAAAGCTCTGAAGATGTCCCAAGTGCTTGGGTCCTTGCACCCACATGTGAGACCTGGAAGAAGCTCGAGGCTTCTGGCTTCAGATCAGCTCAACTCTGGCCACTGCAGCCATTTGGGGAGTGAACCAGCAGATGGAAGACCTCTCTCTCTCTCTCTGCCGCTGCCTCTGCTTCTCTGTAAGCTTTGCCTTTAAAATAAATAAATAAATAAATAAATCTTTAAAAAGAGACTATTGGAAATCATAAGGAAACTCAGCAAGTTTGCAGGATATAAAATTAATGCATAAAAAGCAACAGCATTCTTATACACCAACAATTCTCTGGATGAAAAATGATTTTTAACATCAGTCCCATTCACAATAGCTACAGAAAAGTTTAATACTTTGGGATCAATTTATCCAAGATGGGGAAGATCTCTACAATAAAAATTGTAAAACATTAATGAAAGAATCAAAAGAACACACACAAAGATATGACAAAACCTTCCATGTGTGTGAACTGGAAAAATTATATAATCATAAATGTCCATATTATCAAAGTCAATTTAAAGATATAATACAATCGTAATAAAAACACATCATTAATTTTAGCAAAAGAATTTATGCTAAAGAACCAATCAAGGGGCCAACGTTGTGGTTCAGTGGGTTAAGCCACAATCTGCAAGGTTGGCATGCCATATGAGCACCAGTTGGAGTTCTGGCTGCTCCACTTTCAATCCAGCTTCCTGCTAATCAATGCATGTGAGAAAACATTAGAAGATGGCCAAGTCCTTTGGCCCCTGCAATCCATGTGGGAGACCTGGATGGAGGTGGTCTAGCCTCCTGGCTTCAGTCTAGTCCAGCCTTAGCCGTTATGGCCATTTGAGTAGTGAATCAGCAGTTGGAACATTCATTCATTCTCTCTCTCTCTCTCTTTTTTTCTCTCTCTCCCTCTCCCCTTCTCCTTTCATCACACTTTGTAACTCTGCTTTTCAAATAATTGTATACTTTTTAAATAAATAATCAGATGCATGTACACTTTTTTGAGCAAGAAATTTAGTATAGTATTATTTTACTAAATATTGTAACTAACTTAAACTTCTAGCAGAACTTCTAGCAATCCAGAAAAAAATAAAATAAAATATGGCATGACTAGTAGGAGGAGTTCTAATATACAATGTTCATAATTTTCAGCAATAATGATATAGGAAGTGACTTGCTATATAATGTTGAATGAAAAAGTAAGATCCTAAATAAATGTAATGTGCTTTTCTGTATGAGAGCATATTAGTCAGGTTCAGTTAATCATTACTGCTCTAACAAACAACTCTAAATTCTAATCTCCATTGCTTAACACAATGAAGGATCGGTTCTTGCTCATGACATAATACAATTCTGAGTGGTGGTGGTTATGAATTTCTCTGAGACTCTTCCAGACTCTTCCAGGTCTTCGGGATTGCTCTGGGGTCGTTCAGCTAGCAGAAGAAGAAGAAGAGAGAGAGTGTGGACAGTTCACTGTCTGTAAACTGCCTTGGTCCATAAATGATGCATCACTTTTGTTCACATCCCATGGGCAAAAGATAGGCACCTGTTTCTTGTCTCCTTAAAGGAAGAGATGGGACTATGCATTATTGTGAACATGGGAGCCCCTCTGCCATATATCATGGAAGAAAATATACAACATTATTAACATCTTTGGTGTGATGATCTATCACTACCGTTTTCCATTTTGTGCTGCTGAGTATTTTTAGAATTTTTTGAACTAAATATAAATTAATTTCATAATCAGATCAAAATTATAAATATGAATTTAAATATCAGTGTATAGGCCGGCTGCTTATCCTTCCTCTAGAAATGCAGACATCTTGGGGCACTCCTGTAGTATAGGTTTCTGTATAATCTTTTAATTAAAGAGGTTCCTCACCAAAGTGATAGGAAATACACCAAGGCCAGCCTGACAATCCTTCTCTATGCATGGGTGATTTGGATGTAATATTTGCTAACACTATCTCCTGGATTGCTTTGGCTGATCTGGCTCACTGGGAGGATTTTTCCATTCTTACCTCACTGTTCCATGTTTCCCTTCCAAGGCTTTCCCTATATCAAAGAGAACAATCATTTCTGTGAGCTGAAATGAAACTACAATGAAGAAAAGTTCTCTTTTTGAAGTCTCTTAAAAAGCAAATTTTTAGTAAATGACAACATGAAGACAGAGGTTGAATATTCATTTTATACTGTGTAGATCAAATGTAAGTGAAGATTTAGTAGGAACTAACATTGTTAGCTTTGTGCAAACATTTAGTATGTTCACTGCTCTCATGAGAAATCTCCCTATAAAAATGAAAGAATTAAAAACTGTTGGGGGAAGGCTATGACCCATTGCATAGTTGGAGTCCACATTGTTTCTCTGACTTCAACCCTGTACAATGTATTGTAGAGACTTTGCTGCTGCAAAGATTCTTTGCAGCACTCATCATTGGCTTCAAAGTTTGATTTTTCATTTCCTTATCCCATACTTACTTTCTGTTTCATTGCATGCCACTTTCTTGCATTTGTCCTGTTAAAGCGTCCACCATGGCCATTTAATATTTAAAGGCCTGGATCATTTTGCAGGTTTTAGTTTAAAGGTAACCATAGCACACACACACACATTCATTATTAATTGCAGAGATGCACTGTGAGTTCTTGGGAATCTTCTTTCCTTTCAACATTAGTTTCATAGGAGTGCTGCTGTCAGCAGAAGTAAGAAGTAGTAAGCTTTGATATTGTTATAGGGCAAGTGGACCAGTGCAGTGACAACCGATCCAGAATGCTGTAAACTGCTCGTATGGGTGGAGGGGACCATGCTAAAAAGGGAGATGAAGCCGGAAAATGACAGACCGCGGAGAGTCCGGTTTCGGATCGCATCATCTCACAGTGGGCGAGTTCTGAAGGAAGTGTATGAAGATGGACAACCCTCAGGCTCCCTGGATTCGGAATGTGCCAGTATCTGTGGGATAGATGGACTGAGTGATTCTGATGGACATCAAAATGGCCACATAGGATCCGAAGGTGATGAGCATGAGAATGACCAGGATAACTTGCTGGTGTTAGCAAGGGCTGCCAGTGAGAAGGGCTTTGGTACAAGAAGAGTCAACATTTTAAGTAAAAATGGCACAGTGAGAGGCGTCAAATACAAAGTGAGTGCTGGGCAAGCCCTGTTTAACAATTTGACCAAAGTACTACAGGTAAGTCATTATACCCTCTTCCTCCTAAGCTTTGTTCCTAATTCCATTTCTGAGCACATCTCAATTCTCAATTTAAAGCAAGCCTCTTTTAATCATGACTCCTATATACCTCACAAGACACTCCACTATCTAAGATATTGTCTCCACAGCTGTTGACGAAATACAGGGTCATTATTCTTGACAAATCAGTGTAACTTCTCAAAGCCGTATTACTACCATGTACGTGGACTTTCCTTCCCATGTGATAATGACAGCTCCGAATCTATTTCTTAGCTCAGAAGGGAGACAGACTGTTGTGATCAAAGCATCTGAGCAAAACAGAAGTTAATTTGTTCCCTCTTTATTATCCTCAAACACCAGTTTAACGTTCATCATCACTTGTGTACGTAATTTCAAACAGCAAAGGTTGAGTGCTTACGCTCAGTGAAGCTGGAATCGTTTGGAATGTTATCAAACTATAAAGGCTGACTTTGACTTCCTCCCAATCCTGAAGAGGTTTCATCTGAGGTCCATTTCTCCATTAATTTGCCCATAATCACTCTAGAGCAGCACTTGAAAAATTATTACTCTATGAATATATAGACCAAGATCCAGATTTTAGAGTAAAAAATTATCCTGTAAAGTGTGCCAAATTACATAATATAGGTATGTATGCATTATTCATATTCAGATGCCTTAGACAGAAGATCTAATGTCAAGAGAAGTTTTTGAAACTGCCTGGAATCAGTGGTAAAATGATTTTTTTTTGCATCTAGATATCATTATCTCAGGAATGTAATTCATAATCATTACCTTTAAGGTAGCAGACAAATAGTTTTCTATATAATTTCATTTTCTATTATCCTCAATATTTAACTACAATGGCACATTTGATAAATTATTCAATGTTTTTCATAATATGAGAAAATGAGAATTGTGGACAGAAAGAACTTCAATAAAATTACTTAATGTTTTTTTATTCCAGAGGAAATAGTTGAAAAAGATCACATCATGAGACTGAAAAATAATTTTAGTTTTTGTTAAAGAAAAACAAATTAGTTAAGATTATGTTCACATACAGAATTTACCTATGAAGTAATTAAAGATTAGGAGTAGAGATAAAAACCCAAAGTCAGAAACTGATGAGTCTATATTATTTAGATTGGAAAGAGGCATGCATAGATTTCTAGAGCTGTGACTATTAGGTTAAGAAAATCTTAGTGGTCTTGGAGTTTTCCCAGTGCAGAAATTACTGCTAAGGTGTAGCCCCCGACTTATTGTAACAATTAAGTTCTTAAATGCTGGCATTTATTGTGGTTAACTTTGCTTGTCATTATTTGAATTGCATTGCAATTTGGAGAGTTGTGTGCAAAACTGATATACTTATTTTGGTACTCTGATTTGCACTTGTTTACTTAAATATTCCAAAAAAGTATCATGCATGAGCAAATATCTTAAATCTTTGAAATCGACAAGAGAAAAACTATTCTCCTTCTTATGTCTTTACCCTGACAGTGCTATAAGCTCAGAGACACAAAATAAAAAAACAATTCAAAGCCAGCCTTTTATACCAGATTAGGTTATAGTCCTTACTAACATGTTTTCTACACGTAATTCCACCACCTTTTTGGAGAAAAAGTCTAGCAAAACTGTCTTTTTCTAGTAATTTAAACTCATTCAGTTTATTCTCAGCTTTAAAAGGAAAATGATGTTACTAGCAGAGGGGCCTCAAAGTTTTTGATATTTAGTTACTTATTTACCATCTCATTCTTCCTTCTTGTTAATCTAAGTAATGTAGTTTGCATATGGTAGGGAATTTCAACTTCTGGCTATCATCTTAAGTTTCATCATCATCATGAACATCAAGTGAATGCTCTCTGATCTCTCCAGGGGAAACCTTTAGTTACAGGAGCTCCTGCTCTTGGAGCAGGCCTGCCAGTCACATATTGACATCGTTGTGTGAAAAGAACCCCTGGTTTGTGTCCTATAGTCTGTGCAACATCTCACAGAGACCTGATTTAGGTGCTTGCCCCTTACTCAGAAAGTATCATATGGGGTGACACATGTCTTAGGCATACGTCTCAGGATAACTGAGTAGGTTCCCACAGGTATCCCACAATGCAGTAGCAGAGAAGGGCCAAGCTAAGAATTTGCCATTCAATTTCTCCTATACCCATGACCAGACATGACTTTTTCCCTGGATCTCCACATATTTTCCATATTGCTTGAAAAGTAAGCAGCAAACTTACCTGGAAATAATGGTAACTTAGCAGTTTTTCTCAAGGAGGAGAGAGTGAGCTTTCAGTATCCCAGATATCTGATGAAGGTTCCAATGCTTGGCCAATCTTACTGAACAAGGAACAGTGAATGAAGAAACAGTAAGATTTCTCTTCCTGTTTTAAGTTATAAAATCTTGAAGCACTCACTTTGGATCTTGAGAGGAAATTTTAAATATAAACAACATGAAATATAAACAATTTGAAAGGCTCCTAAATTATTTTGCTTCCTCTTTATTAATTTTCTACTCTGCCATTCCTGTCTCACAAAACAGTCACAGATGTGTTGCCATTGCATAGAGAATAGTCATTGAGATGATTTGCTTTAACACATTTTTACTTAGCAGTATTTATTTGGAAAGTTTTCAAAGGAACATTAGAACTGATTTCTATATCATATAACAATTTATCCTGGATAATTCTGGATAATTGAGGATATGTGATATTAATCAAGGTCCTTAAGAGTGGTAATGTGACCAGGAAGCAAATAAAGTTCATCTGGCTGATTTAGTGACCAAAAGGGCGACTCATTGATGAATCACTCAAGGATCTCCAACTGGTATAGATTATGACTTTTCACATTTAGGTTGAATTTCCTATCTCTCCCAAAGATAACAAGAATACAATGCTAAAGAGAGGCCAGTTTGGAATTATGAAAACCTAGAATCTAGTCATAGCCTAGACATATGTATTTACTACAAGCTTTTTCGGTTATTCCTAGAAGCACCAAGGTTTGAAAATCATTGATTTACAATTTATATGTGAAAATCATCCAGCTCTATAGGATAAACGAAAACATTCCTTAATTTCTTATGTCCTCAAGCAGTTAATGAAGAAAATGAGAAAGATGTGCACTGACAGATGATTTGTTCTTTTGATCAAGTTATATAAGGATTTTTCCCAAGTTAATGATGAGTAGAGATTATCCTGACATGTTTCCTATTGATGGCCTCATTTATTAATTAGTTTATTTGGGAACAGGAAGGACCAGAAATTTTATTTATTATTTCTATTTAGATAAATAGTTTGATTCCTAATTACTAGAAATTTTTAGAAAACAATATTTTTATTTTCTTTTAAAAATTAACCGCTGTTCTTTCTGCAAAACGAATTATAAAACCATTAGATAACTTGTAGCTATCATTACTCAGTTTACATGGTAGGGTTTGGGATATACCTTAGCAGCAATATATTTCTAAAGTCTCAGGGTGGATCAGTGTTGCAGATAATAAAGGGCATTCATTTTTGTTAATTTATTTTTATGGGATTAAGTTTCAGATAGAAATATTTTCCTGAATTCATCCTCAAACTGTGTGAGTACAATGTTATAATCTTCCATAATTTTAATTCCCTCTCCTCCAAAGTGAAAAACGTGGTATTAGAGAAAAATAGATGCAAAGAAGGAAAATAAGTACACCATATATCATAATTTGGCAGCTTCTTTTCAGAACTCAAACATATAAACCCTGTGTATGTATGCACATGAATATCTCTGGTTAGTGTGCTATTTGTAAATTAAAATAAATAATTTGCTTGCATAAAAGTTGCATTTTGCTCAGGGCTTTCACATATATTACTTTACTTAATTGTACCCAAAGTTTTGTGAAAATTATTGTTATAATATCTGCTTTTATAATGATCAGAGAAATCAAGTGACTAGCTAATAATACAAGAACTCTCCATTTTGCTACTTGACTTTTTAATTTTCAAAGGTATAACATCAAAGACAAAAATCCCAGATTTACCTTATAGAATGTTAAAGTGACAAATATGAATATTTATGATACTACTTATATCATGTTGGATATAATCTTATTTTTGAAGCTTCGGTATTTAATTGGCAAGTTATAAAATGCCATTTAACATTCGTCTTCATCTAGAGAAGATTTTTCATCAGTTAAGTAGCTTTCACTCAGTTTTAAGCAGTGCTTTGCAAATTTATCAAAACCCATTATTTCCATAACATCATTTGATTAACTTTATTTTTTTTAAGGTTTATTTATTTATTTGAAAGTCTGAGATACACAGAGACAGAGATAGGAGAGGTAGAGAGAGAGAGAGGTCCTCCATCCGGTGGTCCACTCCCCAGTTGGCTGCAACAGCTGGAGCTGTGCTGATCCGAAGCCAGGAGCCAGGAACCTCTTCTGGAACTCCCACGCAGGTGCAGGGGCCCAAGGACTTGGGCCATCTTCCCAGGCTATAGCAGAGAGCCGGATTGGAAGTGGAGCAGCCAGGTCTCGAACCGGCGCCCATATGGGATGCCAGCACTTCAGGTCAGGGCATTAACCCACTGTGCCACAGCGCTGGCCCCTGATTAACTTTCAAGAGATTCAAAGGGCTGATACTGAAAGAGGAAAGCTTGGTTACCACAAGTAAGACTCCTGCTCAGCATTGCTCACTAACTCAGGATAGATGTTATTATCAGAAGTTTCTGGCAGTATTTCTTATCCATCTCTAGTTCATTGAATCTAGCGCTGGTAACAGAATAATATTCCAAGAAAACAAGACAATATTCTCAGTGACTCTTTGGTCCTGATGGTTTATTTGGACCACTCTGGAAATACAATGAGAACAGAAATAGTTAGCACTGATTGAGTACTTACTGAATGTCAGGCAGGCACTGTTCACATTATTTTTGTGCATTGTTGCAATGTCATTATTAATAATTTGAGCTCCTTATTTGTGTAAGAAACATTAAGTTATAGAATTTTTAAATATAAATTATCCACAGAAGTTTTTATATAG